GTTCGCTTGGGATTGGGGTAGACAAGTTCCCGTTGACGGGACAGCCGTCGTGAACGCGCTGCAGAGGCACTCGACCTGGACAGTCGCCCGCGGGCAGAGTTCTCTGTCACTGCCTGGGATTCCGTCAGGTTAGCGGCCAAAGACCAACCATGCTGCGTTCCATCGCCGGGCTGGAACGGCCCACCAGGGGCGAGATCCGCATCGACGGGCACCCCATCTTCGACGCCGAGAACGGCGTTTTCGTGCCCCCCAACCGGCGCCCCATCGCCATGGTGTTCCAATCATACGGCATCTGGCCGCACATGGACGTGTTCGAAAACATCGCCTTTCCGCTCCGCCGCGGCCGCCTGAAGATGGAAAGAGACGCGGTGCGGGTCCGCGTCGGCGAGGTGCTCGAGATGCTCGGCCTCGATGCCCTGGCGGAACGGCCGGTCATCACGCTGAGCGGCGGCCAGCAGCAGCGGGTGGCGCTGGCGCGGGCATTGGCCCTCCAGCCCCGCATCCTGTTGATGGACGAGCCGCTGAGCAACCTGGACTTCAAGCTTCAGGTCCGGCTCCGCGCCCAGATGCGCGACCTGATGCATCGCCTCGGACTGACGACGATCCACGTCACTCACAACCAGGCGGAAGCCCTCGAGACCGGTGACCGCATCGCCGTGATGGCGGAGGGCCGGATCGTCCAGATCGGCGATCCGCAAGCGGCGTACCATCGGCCGGAAAACGAGTTCGTCGCGCGGTTCATCGGCGACATGAACATTTTCCCGGCGGTCTATCGGGGCAGCGACGCGGGCATGGCTCGCGTAGAGACACCCTTCGGAAACCTGGACGCGCAACTGACCAGCCGTGACGGTCCTCGCGACAGGCGCGGCCTGCATGTTGGGGATTCGGCCGGAAGACATCGAGACCGGTGGCGACATCCCACGGGACGCGGCCAACCTCCTAACCGGCACGCGTGGCCGCATCGAGCTTTGTCGGCGAGGGTTTCGTGCACACGGTCATGACCAGCGGCCAACCTGTGCGGGTGCGGCGGCATCACAGCGAGGCCATCAGCCGCGGGGATTCGCTCCGGCTCCATTTTCCGCCGGCGCAGACCGTCGTGGTCGCGCCGTCCGCCGGTCTGGACATGGAAGGCCTCGAAGGCGGGCTCGCCGGCGAGGAAGCGTCTCGTGCAGTATAGATTGCCGGGTATCGGCTGGGTCTACTGCTGGCAGGTGTCGGCTTGGCGTTGGTCTGTGTCACGGTGGGCGGCAACATTCTAACCAGCTTCGTCGACCAGGATCCGAGCGGGCAGTACACGTTCGCGAACTATGCCGAGTTGCTCACCCAGAAGAGGCTTGCCAGCGTCACCGGCAGAACCGCCGTTCTCGGCCTCGGCACCGTTTTCTGGATGTTCATCTTCGCCTTTCCCTTCACCTGGCTGTTGGCCCGCACGGACTTCCGGTACCGCACCGGCCTGTTTACGCTGCTGACGGCAAAGCTTGCGATCCCCGGTTTTATCACCGCCATGTCCTATGTGTGGCTGTTCAATCCGACCTCCGGGCTCGCCAACACGCTCTTTGGGATGACCAAGTTTACCGGCGGCGCGCTGTTCGACGTCTACCAGGTATCCTGGATCTGCTTTCTCCAGGGCATCGTGCTGGTCCCCGGCGGGGTTTTCATGATGCTGCCGGCCTTCCGGAACCTCGATGCGTCGCTGGAGGAGGCCGCCTGGGTCAGCGGCGTGTCCAAAACCTATACGGTCTTTCGCGTCGTGCTGCCGCTGCTGGGCCCCAGCATAGTGGCGGTGTGCATCTTCTATTTTGTGCTTGGCGTCGAAATGTTCGACTTCGTCGCCATCATCGGCATGCCCGGCGACGTGCTGGTTCTGTGGATCTATGACGCCATCGCGGAGACCGACGGTCCGCCCAATCTGGGCTTCGCGGGTGCGGCAGGTGTCGTTCTGTTCGCCATCTGCGGCGTCGCCATCCTGTTCTACGCCCGGTTCCTGAGGCAGGCGCGGAAATACGCCGTGGTCAGCGGCAAGGTCCGGGCCTCGGCGCCGCAGCCGCTGGGCCGCTGGCGCTGGGCTGCGTATTTCTTGGTCTGCGCCTGGGTGACGGTCAGCATCGCGATTCCGGTTGTCACCATCGTCTGGGTGGCGCTGGTGCCCTTCTTTCAACCTCCGTCCATTGCCGCGCTGGCTTCCCTCAGCCTCGACAGTTTCCGGGACGGGTTGGCGTGGATCGGCGAACCGCTTCGCAATACGCTGATCCTGATGGCGGGTGCGGTGGTGGTGGCTGCATCGCTGGCCACCAGCATCACCTGGGTGGTCACACGCAGCCGCAACCGCGCGGCCCGCCTGGCCGACAATATCGTGTTTCTGGCGCCGGCGGTCCCCACCATTGTCACGGGCGTCGCGTTCCAGTTCATCGGCATCGGGATCTATCACTGGCTGCCGCTGTTCGGGACCATCTGGCTCGTGGCCATCGCCATGGGGACCCGGATGCTGGCCTACTGCACTCGGACCATGAATGCAGCTTCCCTGCAGGTCCACTTCGAGCTCGACGAAGCCGCCCTTGTCTCCGGGGTCTCGATGTTGGAGACCTTCCGGCGCATCTTTCTTCCCTTGATGGCCCCCGCCATCTTCTATTCCGCCCTGATGGTCGGCATGCTCTCGGCGCGGGACCTGACCTTGCCGCTGGTGATGAACACCGGGAACTCTGAGGTTGTCGCCACCCTCATCTTCAATCTCCAGACCAATCGCGAGCAGAATGCGGCCGCGGCTGTCGCCCTCTACATGATATTCATTCTCTCCATCCTGGCGCTGTTCGCACGACGCATGACCGGGATGCAGGAGATCCGCGGCCACGACATCGGCCGTCGGAATGGTCTGCTGAGCCGGCTGTCCGGTAGGGTAGGCGACTTTGCAGCCCGGCAAAGACTGAGCCGCAAACGGAGGCTCGGATACGGCAACTGAACGAATCCGGTGATAAGACAGGGAACAGGTTTTTCAACCAGAGAAGGAGCTTTCCAGATGAAACAGACAATCACGAAATGGGTTGGGCTGCTCGGCATGGCAGCCGTGTTGATCGGCGTACCGGCAATGGCCTCAAGCGCGGATCTGCCGGAAGCCGTGAAAAAGCTCGTCAAGCCGGCACAGGCTGAAGGCGAGGCAACGGTCTTCGGCACCACCATGAACCCCCGCCAGGTCGCCATGATGAACAAGGGGTTCAATGCGTTCTATGGCACCAACATCAAGCTCAACCAGGTCGGCGGTCGCCACACGCGCAAGCGGGTGGAGGTCATCCGGGCCCTGAAAAACAACGTGCCCACGGGCCTTGACCTCTTCTGGACATCGAGCCCCCGCGCCTTGATCGGGGGCGACGCCATCGTCAAGTTCGACTGGGCAGGCGAATTCGGTGTGCCGAAAAACCTGATGGAGGGTGAATACGGCATCAAGACCCATGACAGCTACCTCAACCTGGTGACCATCAACACCAATCTGGTGAAGGCCGTCGACGAGCCCAAGAGCTACGACGACCTGCTCGACCCGAAATGGCAGGGCCGGCTCGCCATGCCGCGTTCTCCGTCACCCTGGGTGTATTTCACCTACGCGTTCGGTGAAGAGAAGGCGCAGAAGTACCTGGAGACCCTGCTTCGGAAGCAGCAGGTCAAGACGCTGCCCCGGTATCCCGACGTGCGGTCACGGGTCATCGGCGGCGAGTTCGCCATCGGTCTCGGCACCGATGCCTGGGCCGAAATTGCCAAGGGCGCGCCGGTGAAGCATCCGAACATGGATACGGTGATTCTCGCTGCCAGAGGCGCCTATATCGTGAAGGACGCCAAAGCGCCCAACATCGCGAAACTGTGGGGCTACTGGGTGGTGTCCCCCGCGGGCCAGAAGACCATTCATGATGTCCGCGGCTATTCGCTCGTGAGCTCGAAGAGCGGCTACATGTACGACTACATCCAGGGGAAGAAGGTCGTCGACGTGCCTTTCGACTGGCGGATGAAGAACGAAGCACCGTTGTCGAAGAAGTTCAGCGCGGTGTTGCGTGACAAGTAATCAGGCTAGTGGCGGTGGCCGGACCGGAGAGGCAACGATGATCAGAACCTCGGGGCCCGCGGGTGAGCCCTTTCAGCGGTGCACCGCCGATCTCTCATCCGGTCCGGTGACCTACCATGTCGCGGGCGAGGGGCCGCCCGTGCTGTATTTGCACAGCGCGGGCGGCATTCGCTTTACCTACGCGCTCGACGAGCTGTCACGCGATCATCGGATTCATGCAATGGTGGCCCCGGGATTTGACGGGACGCCGGCCCATGAGAAACTCGCCAGCATGCCGGCGCTTGCCGACCTCGCCGGCGAGTTCGTGGATACGGTGATCGGCGGGCCGTGCGACCTCATCGGCCAGTCGTTCGGCGGGTTCCTGTCGGCGTGGGTGACCGCGCGCCATCCGGAAAAGATCCGTTCCCTCGTCCTCCAGTGCCCGTCGGGCTTCCGCCCGCCACACATCCCGCAGAAACCGCCGGGCAGTCCGGAAGAGATGCGTGCGAGAATGTTCGCGCACCCGGAACGCATTCCTGCGGGGGGAAAAGACTCCGGCCGAGCTTGCCGAGAGCCGAGGATGGGCCCATTACTACCACCAGTCCATCGGACTCGATGAGGCGCTTGTGGCCCGATTGCCCGAGATGGTGCAGCAGACGCTGGTTCTGCAGGGCACGAAGGACGGCATGATGCCGCCGGAGAGCGGACAGCTTCTGGCGCGGGAAATCCCCCATGCCAAGCTCGTCTACGTCTATGACGCCGGCCACAACATCGAGGTCGACCAGCCTGAACGGTTCGTCGCCCTGGTGCGTGATTTCTTCTCGCGCGGTGAAGCGTTCATCGTCAATCCGGGCGACGAACGTGCGGGCGTGACGGCGACCCGCCAACCGTCCGCGTAACTATTTGGCTAGGGGAGCCCCGATCAATTGAAATGGCGTCCTTCGACTTCGCTTCGCTACGCTCAGGACGGACGGGAAAGGCTTCCAAAACCGTTCGTCCTGAGCCCTTCGACAAGCTCAGGACAGGCGTAGCGAAGCGAAGTCGAAGGACGCCATCGCAATTGAACAGCGTCTCCATGGGTTTCCGCCCGGCGTTCGGGTTCCTCTGTTGTAGGGGCGGGTTTCAAACCCGCCCGTGCCCGTTGTCGCGCTGAATCACCGACCGTGAGCACCGTCTATTCCCGGCGCAAGCCGGGCTCCGCGAGGGTGGTGTCCTGTCCCGGCGGCGTCTCATCAAGGGCCTCTTCAAGCGAAGGTTTCGGTGCCCACTCCTCGGGCGGGCGCGCTTCGCCCTCCCAGTCCACCTTGTCGAGTCCCCAGAATAGTTCCAGGCTGTGGCCGTCGGGGTCCCGGAATTCCACCGACACCTGACAGCCCGCCCGTCTCCGGCCATGGAAGTCGATGGGCACGCCGTTTTTCTCGAGGTGGTCCCGGGCGCGGAAGACGTCGTCGAGGGTGGGCACCTCGAAGGCCAGGTGGTGCAGTTCCCGATTCCCGGACGCCTCCTTGGCCTGGCCGACGAGGCCGAGGCCGTGGTGGTCCTGGTTGAAACGCATGAAGACCATCCGGCCCGGCACCATGCTTTCCGGATAGACGTCGGAAACCTTGAAGCCGAGCACCTGGGTGTAGAAACGGACCGACACGTCGATGTCCCGGACCACCAGCACCGCGTGCCCCATGTTGCCGATGCGGAAGGGCATGTCCGCCGGCGGCTGAACGCCTCTCATCGCCTGGACCTCGGGACCGTGCAGTCCCTCCAGATCGACCTTGCCTCGTTGGGTCATGTTTTTGGCCATGTGCGATTCCCTCCGTGACGGCAACCGCGTTCCGCGCCGGTGCCTTGGGCCTGATTTGCGCTATACATATAGCCGAATGTGCCCGCCAGGGGCGAACACGTGGCGCGGGACGCGTACCTTGGTTGCCCGGCCGGTGCGATTGTGAGACGATCCGGCTATACTTCTGCCCGGTTCGACACGGACGGGTAACTAGCGGCGATGGAGAAACATGGGAGGCTGACATGACCCCAATTCCTCGTACAAGATTCATGGCGTTGGCCGCGGCTTTGGCGGTATTGCTGGCGGCGGGCGCCGTCTCGGCGCAGACCGTCAAGCTGGCGGTTCCGACGTTCCTTACCGGGGCCGGCGCGCCGGCCTACGGCGTCCCGGCCAAGAACGGCGTGGAACTGGTGGTCCGCGCCATCAACGAGGGCACCCTTGCCGGCGCCCTACAACAGTGTCGGGCTGGCCGGCCGCAAGGTGGAGCTCCTGGTGTACGACGAAACCGGCGGCGGCACCAAGCAGGTCACGGAGTTGCGCAACAAGGTGCAGAAGGAGGGCGTGGACGTCGTGGTGGGCTACATCTCCTCCGGGAGTTGCGCCGCCATCGCCCGGGTGGCGGAGGAGCTTCGGGTCCTGACTCTGCTGACGATATGCGGCACGCCGCGCATCTTCGAGGAGTTGGTGCAGGAGCCGAAGTACCTCTTCCGCATCATCAACCACAGCACCGGCGGCAACGTGGGCGCGGCGCGCTACGTCGTCAGGAAACTCCGGGGCGAGGCCAAGGACGGCTACATGGGCATCAACCAGAACTACGCCTGGGGCCAGGATGCCTGGCGCGATTTCAACCTGGCCATGCAGACCCTGGCGCCGGAGCTCAAACCGGCCAAGAAGCAGCAGTTCCCCAAGCTGTTCTCCGGCCAGTACGGCACCGAGATCTCGGTTCTGCTCAGGGCCAAGCAGAAGCTGGTGCACTCGAGCCTCTGGGGCGGCGACCTCGAGGCCTTCATCGCCCAGGGCACAGCCAGGGGACTGTTCAAGCGCAAGAAGTTCATCCTCACGGTGGGCGAGATAACGGCCCACCGGCTCGGCAACAAGTTCCCTAAGGGACAGCTCGCGCGCGGTCCCTATGGGATGTACGCGGCGGGTATCGACACCGCACTCAACAACTGGTTTCAGAGCGAATTCCGCAAGGCGTACAAGCAGCCGCCTTCGTCGCCGGCCTATCACTACGCCGATGGTATCCTGGCGGCCAAGTACGCCTACGACAAGGCCATGAAGGCCAACGGCGGCAAGTTCCCGTCCACGGATCAGGTGATCAAGGCGCTGGAGCATGCCACTTTCGACATCCTCGCCGCCAAGGTCAAGATGGCCCTCGGCAAGGGCATCAGGCGGTCACCTCGGACCGCTGGGGCTCCGCCGAGTGGGACGCTGCCAAGGGCGAGGTGGTGGTCAAGGACGTGGTGGAGTTCAAGGCCGAGTGCGTGAACCCGCCGGAAGGGGTCAATGCGGCGGACTGGGTCAAGGGCGGCATGAAGGGCGCCAAGTGCGACTGAGCGGCGCTCCGGTCCTAGTGTCTTCGTGACCCGGGCGCCGAAGTGCCGGCGCCCGGGTCTAGTGGCCTGTAAATCCATTCCCGCGCACGGGGGGACCGTTGGATCCCGAGCTCCTACTCATCATCCTCGTCGACGGACTCGTCTACGGTTCCTACCTGTTCATGGTGGCGGTGGGCCTGACCGTCATCTGCGGCGTCCAGAAGCTCCTCAACGTCACCCACGCCTCCCTCTACGCGTTCGGCGCCTATCTGTCAGCCACGCTGCTGATTCTCTATTTTCGGGTTGGACTGGCCCCAGTTCGGCGCCTTCGCGGTGATACTTTTCTCCGCGCTCTTCCTCGGCGTGGTGTTCGGCGTCATCATCGAGCGCGGCCTGCTCCGGCACCTCTATCACGAGGATGAGCATATCATCGTGCTGGCGACCTTTCGCGGCCTTCCTGGTGCTCGAGGACGTGCTGCTGCTGATCTGGGGCACCGACCCCTATCTCGCCTCGGAGCCCCTGGGTTTGCTGGGCCAGACGGAGATCGCCGGGCTGCCCTTCGACAACTACAGCTTGTCCATGGTGCTCCTTTCGGCGGTGGTCGCCGCGGCGCTCTGGTACGGACTCAACCGGACCATGTTCGGCAAGCTGCTCCTGGCGGTGATTTATGACCGGGAGCTGGCGCAGGCCATGGGGATCAACGTCAACCGGGTCTTTCTCCTGACCTTCATGCTGGGCTCGTTCCTCGGCGCGCTGGGCGGCGCGTACCAGGCACCGGCGATCTCCGTCCAGCCCGGCATCGGCGTGGAGGTGATCGTACTGGCCTTCGCCGTGGTGGTCATCGGCGGCATGGGCAGCATTCCCGGCGCCCTCATCGGCTCGGTGATCGTGGGCGTGGCGCGGGCGTTCGCGGTGCACCAGGAGCCGGCCCTGGAGCTGTTCGTCATCTACATGATCATGGCCGCGGTGCTGATCGTGCGGCCCCAGGGGTTGTTCGCGCCCCGCCAAGGCGAGAAGCATATGAGCTGGCGCCGGGACAAGACGCTTTGGGGCCTCACCCTCGGCCTCGCCGGGCTGCTGCTGTTCAACTTCGTGGTGCCGGAGTGGTTCCGCAGCATCCTCACGCTTTCCCTGGCCCGGGGATCGGTGGCGCTGGGCCTCCTGGTGCTCTGGCGCTGCGGGCTGATCTCCTTCGGCCACGCGCTTTACTTCGGCTTCGGCGCCTACACCGTGGGGTTGATGGGCCGGTACCTGGGCATCACCGACGCTTTCCTGACCATTGCCTGCGGGGTGGCGACGGCCGGCTTGTTCGCGTACCTGCTGGGTTTCCTGCTGCGGCAGTACCGGGGCATCTTCTTCGCGCTCCTGAACATGGCGTTCTCCATGATCCTCTACGGCGTCCTGGCCAAGCTCGAGGAGCTGGGGTCCACCGACGGCATCAGCCTGGAGGTCACGACGTATCTCTGGTACGCGCCCCTGGGCGCCGAGAACAAGACGGCGCTGTTCATCTTCGCGGCGATCCTGACCTGGGGGGTGGCGGTGCTCGTGCACCTCTATCTCCGCTCCACCCTGGGCAACATGACCACCGCCGTGCGCGAGAACGAGATCCGGCTGGGCTATCTGGGGTACTCGGGCGAGCGGGCGGTCCACGCCAAGTACGTCATATCCGGGCTGGTGGGCGGGTTCGGAGGCGCCATCGCCGCCCTCACCATCGGCCACGTGGACCCGGACTCCATGGCGTACTGGCCGGTGTCCGGGGACTTCGTGTTCATCGCCATTCTGAGCGGCACCGGCAACGTCGTCGCGCCCTTCATCGGCGCGCTGATGTACGAACTCATACGAACCTATGCCTTCGACCTGTTCCCGGGCATCTGGCAGTTGATCATGGGCGGAACCCTGCTCGCCATCATCATGTTCCTGCCCAACGGCCTGTGGTCGCTGGTGGACCGGCGGCGAAGCAGGGCCGGGGCGCGTGCGCTCCCGGCGGAAAGGGAAGAGGGATAGCCGGCCATGTCCGTGGTCCTGGAAGTCCACGATCTCGAGAAGTCCTTCGGCGCGGTGGTGGCCGCCCACGACATCAACGTCGTGGTGGAGGAAGGCGAGACCGTTGGCGTTATCGGCGCCAACGGCGCGGGCAAGACCACCTTCGTCAACCTGGTGACCGGTCATCTCCCGCCCGGCGGCGGCACGGTGGAGTTCATGGGCCGCAGCATTCTCGGGCATTCGGTGCGCGCCATTGCGCGGATGGGCCTTTGCCGTTCCTTCCAGGTTCCCCAGATCTTCCTCTCCGAAACCGTCTTCGACAACCTGATGATGGCCTTTGGTATTGCGGAGCAGGAAGGGGCGACCCTCTTGACCCCGCTCAGGGAGGACCGGCGGGCGGCCCGGGTGGAGGCTCATCTGGCGCGCTACCAGATCGCGGAGTACCGCGACGTCACCGGCGCCGCGCTGCCCCAGGGCATACGCAAGCTGCTGGACATCGCCATGGCCACGGTGCGCAAGCCCAGGCTGCTGATGCTGGACGAGCCCACCAGCGGCATCAGCGCGGAAGAGAAGTTCGCCATCATGGACATCCTCATGCAGGCGCTGCGGGAGGAGCAAACCACCGTGTTGTTCATCGAGCACGACATGGAGATCGTCGAGCGGTACGTCGCCCGCGTGCTCGCCTTCTACCAGGGCGAGATCATCTGCGATGCGCCCACGCGGGAGGCCCTGCGGGATGAACGGGTGCTGGAATACGTGCTGGGCCGGGAACACGCGGCAGCGTCTCCGGCACCGGCGCCGAGGTCTCCGTCCGGGGGCGACGCGCTCGCCGTCAGCGATCTCGACGTGAGCATCGGTGCTACCCCGATCCTGCGCGGAGTCCATCTCAGCGTCCCGTCGGGATCCATGTGCGGCCTCATCGGCCGCAACGGCGCGGGCAAGACCACCTTCATGCGCGCGGTCATGGGGGCGCTGTCGATCCGGCAGGGCAGGGTGCAGTTCGGCGACGTCGATCTGGCCGCGGCCCCGGCCCATCGCCGGGCGCACATGGGTATCGGGTTCATGCCGGAGGACCGCCGGCTGGTGCCCGAGCTGACCGCGGAAGAGAACATCCTGCTGCCCGTCTGGGCCACCGGTGCGGACAACGCCGGGGAACGCCTGCAATGGATCTACGGCCTGATGCCCGAGGTCGAGGAGTTCCGTCACCGCGGCGCCACCAGCCTGTCGGGCGGTCAGCAGAAGTTCGTCGCCTTCGCCCGGGCGTTGATGTGCGGTACCCGGCTGCTCCTGCTGGACGAGCCCGGCGAGGGCATCGCCCCGATCTTCGCTCAGCGAATGGTGGAGATTCTGGACGACCTCAAGAAGGAAGGCTTGTCCGTGCTGGTGGCCGAGTCCAACGACGTCCACATCGCCCGCCTGTTGGACCGGACCTTCGTGATCGAGCGCGGGAGCATCGTGGAGGGCGGGTAGCGGCGACTACGCGCTACTGCGTGAGGGCTCTCGCTCCAGCCAGGCACGCAAGAACGCGGCTACGATTTCCACTTGTTCCCCCCGCAGCATTCCGTAGTGACCGCCGGACATCCAGTGCGTCTCGAGTCCGTCGCGGGCGATCCTCAGCCGAATAGAGTGCCTACGCCGACGTGGCCGCGGTCTGAACCCCGGATGTTTCCCCGGGAGCCTGCGCCTCAGGAACCCGACATCTTATGTAGGGACGGGTTTCAAACCCGCCCGTGTCCGAATCGCGCTGCCGGCCGATACGGGCTCCTATTGATTGCCAATGATTCTCCAGTTTGATAAGACTCCTGCCCGACTCGGAATCACGTCAGCCTCTGTTGGCCGAATGGACGAACCGTACAAAGGAGAACTCAAATGCCCATCGTTCGCTTGATCCACGTCAACGTCGACCCCGGCCAGGCCTCGGACGCGGAGCGAATCTGGAAGGAAGACTGCGGCCCGCTGATGATTGGTCAGAAGGGCTGCCGGTCCGAGCAGTTGTTGAAGTGTGTTGATTCGCCGGGTGAGTATATCTCCTACGCCGAGTGGGAGACCCAAGAGGACATCGATCGCTATCGCGAAAGCGACGACCACCAGAAAGTCCAATCGCATGCCCGCGCTCTGCAGGGCGCACGTGCGGTGGTGAAGCGATACGAACCGATGGACTGAGCCGTGCAGGGGAGGCACGGTCCCGGAGTATTGGCCCCCGAGGAGAGCGTGTGACTTCCCGAGAAACCGGGGACGGCGGACTCGCTGCCGCATCCTCCCAAGACGACTTCCTGCTCTACGACGGCGAATGCATCTACTGTCGGACGTATGCGCGGAAGTCCAGGTTCAGGACTCCCACGGGAAAGCGGTTGCGCCTCATCGACGGCCGGAGAGCTGCTGAACTGGTCGAGGAACTCCGGCGGGACGGCTGCGATCTTGAGGACGGCATGATCCTGGTGCTGGAGGGCCAGCGTTATCAGGGATCCGAGGCCCTGACGGTGCTAGGGTCCCTGACCACCGGAACCGACTGGTTCAACCGGCTTTCGAGGTGGCTCGGGTCCAGCTCGGAACGGGCACGTTTCTTCTATCCATGGTTCCGCCGCCTCCGTCAGACGGGTCTCTGGCTCAGCGGCAAGTCCGGTTTCCGGCGATGAGCGGACAGGACGCTAGTTGCACGGACAAAAGCAATGGTGGTAGTATTTAACCGGTTATTTTGACAGGTTAGATCACTATGCGAACGGTTCAAGCTACCGAGGCCAAAGCGCGTTTGGCCGATCTCCTTCGGATGGTCGAACGCGGAGAGACCGTGGCGATTACCCGGCACGGTGAGACCATCGCGCATGTGATCCCCGCGCCATCGGGCGAGGGCGCCGATCACAAGCAAGCGGTGGCTCGCTTTCGCCGCCGCCGTAAAGAATGGCAGCCCGTGTCGATGTCCGTCGATGAGATTCTTCGTGCGCGCCATCACGGTCACCGCCTTTGAGCATCTTCGTCCTCGATGCTTCGGTCGCAGTCTCGTGGCTGTTGGGCGAGGACACCGCGCCGCAGGCGGATTCGGTCCTGGCCCGTCTTGAAAGCGATGAAGCGCTGGTGCCGCATCTTTGGCACCTGGAAGTGCACAACGCCCTCCTTGTAGCATCGCGCCGCGGACGGTTGGCCGCCGATCAGCCGGGCGGAACGGCTCAACGCCTTGCGCGACCTGCCCATCCGCACTGATACGGAGCCCGATCTGACCGTCGCGTTCGCCTTGGCCGAGAGACATGGTTTGTCCTTCTACGATGCCATCTATCTGGAACTGGCAAAGAGAAACGTCGCGCCCATCGCAACGCTTGACAGGGCTCTCGCCCAAGCGGCTGCCAGCGAGGGTTTGCCGGTGTTCTAGCCGGTCGACTCTCACACCGGATCCACCATGGCAGGGTCCTTCGACCGACGCAGCGACAGGGAGTTGGTGGAGCTGTGCAACCGCGGCAGCCGGGATGAGGCGGTCCAGGCCTTCGAGTCCCTCTACCGGCGGCATCGCGACTATGTCACGCGCGTGGCGTTGCGGTTCGGCGGCGACCGGGAGGCGGCCGTCGATGTCCTGCAGGAGACGTTTCTCTATCTGCTCAAGAAATTTCCTCCCAGTGGCGAAGGGCTGGTGCTGACCGCGCAGCTCCGGTCATTGCTCTACCCCGTCGCCAAGAACCTGACCCTTTCCTTCCTGCGCCGGCGCGCGCACCTGGACGATGCCGAGGACTTCGATCCGGACCGGTTCGCGGCCCCGGACGCCGCCGACCCGGCCGAGCAGGATCCCGCGCGGCTGTCGTCGGCGCTGGCCCGTCTCTCCCCCGAGCGCCGGGAAGTGGTGCTGCTGCGCTTTGTCGACGACATGTCCCTGCAGGACATCGCCGACACCCTCTCCATTCCCCTTGGCACGGTCAAGTCCCGGCTCCATCTCGCGGTCAGGGAGCTGCGGAACAGCCCCGAGATCAAGGATTTCGGCAAGCCGTGAACCTTCTGGCGCCCTTGCGCGCTTAACAAGACAGAACCATGCAGCGCGATGACGACAGAACCACCCTGGCCGACGACGAAGACCTTGATCTGCCCGACGAGCTGATCCAGGGCCTTGCGCGGCTGGACAAGGCCGTGGCGGTCATGTCGCCGGACGCGGACCGGCGCATTGCCGAGGCCGCCAGGGCACACTTCGGCGAGCGGCCGCGGCGCGCGCGTGCGGCCGGGCGGCGGTGGGCCATGGCCGGGAGCCTGGCGGCGAGTCTCCTGGTAGGCGTGCTTTTCTGGCGGGCGCAGACTCCGGTGGAAGACCTGCGGGTTGCCAGCGTTGCCAGCGCGGCCAACGACATCGACGGCTCCGGTGTCGTGGACATCCTCGACGCGTTCGCCCTGGCCCGGATGCAGGCGGCAGACCGAACGCCGGCCGCGCAGGCGGAGGTCGATGCCCTGAGCATGAGGATCGTGGCTCTGGACGGTTTCCCGGAGAAGCTATGAACGGCTGGCGCTCGAAGCTCCTGCTCTGTCTGGTCCTGTGGGCCGCCGCCTGGCCCGGCTCGTCGCACGGGGACGGGAACGAGGTCCGTTTCGCCGCCCTCGACATCCACCTGGAATCCGCCGAGCCCGTGGCCGCGTGGCAGTTCGAGCTGTCCGAAGCCGGCGGACGGATGATCGTGGCGGGGGTCGAGAACGGTGACAGCGCGGCGTTCGCCAAGGCCCCCTACTATGATCGGAAGGCCGTCAGCGACGGACGCGCCGACCGCATCATGGTCGCCGATTTCACGTTGCGACCTGCGGTCGAGCTTCCCGTGGGCAAGGTCCGCATCGCCACCGTGCACGTTCGCCTCACCGGCGCCTCCGAACCCGACTACGTCCTGCGGCTGGTCGCGGCGGGCAACGCCCAAGGCGAGCCCGTCCCGGCCTCCATCCATCTCGATGTCCAGTCAGGGAGAAAGCCCAAATGAGAAAATTCAAGATCGCAAACGGACTGGTGACCGGCGTTGCTCTGTGTCTTCTCCTGGTTGCGGGAGCATGCTCGCTTGGCGATGACGCGGTGAAGGATGCTGGCGCGCCTTCCGATGCAGGGTCGTCCCCGTCGCAACAGGACGCTGCGCGCTCGGAGAAGCCTTTGTCTCGCTCCGGTGGGGGTGGCACGGCGACGAAGGCTCGCCCGCCTGCTCTCTACAAGAGGGGAGGGGGAGGCTTGTTGATGCCTCAGTCCATCGTTCGGGGAATGGGCCTTCGAATGGCTCGTGATGCGGATTCGGCTCTGGCGCCTTGGCCCTCACCGGGTGTGGGCGAAGAGCTCTGGATCATTGCGACGGCGCCCCGCAAGGTGAACACAGCCCGTGGGCCGGACCATCCGGGCTCGGGCGCACTGATGGCGACCCGTCCCGCGGACGGGGAAGACAAGACCAAGGTACCGCTCCCCCTCAAGCACACCGAGGTCCGCGCGGCCATCACCGGCTACGTTGGGACTGTGGACGTGACCCAGCAGTTCCAGAACCCCTTCGATGAGAAGATCGAAGCCGTCTACATGTTCCCGTTGCCCGAGAAGGCGGCGGTGAGCGAGTTCGTCATGACCATCGGGAAACGCCGCATACGCGGTATCCTGAGAGAAAAGGAAGAGGCAGAGGCCATCTATCGGGAAGCCCGGGCGCAGGGATATCAGGCCAGCCTCCTGACCCAGCACCGCCCCAACATCTTCGAGCAGAAGGTGGCCAACATCGAGCCCGGTAAGCGCATCGACGTGGAGATCCGGTACTTCCACTCGCTGGCGTACCGTGACGGCTGGTACACGTTCGTGCTCCCCACGGTCATCGGCCCCCGTTACAATCCGCCCGGTTCCGAGGATCCGGTGCATGCGTTGCCGCGTTCGGAGGTCCAGCCCGTTTCGTCGGGCGCCGGCGTGCGTTATCTCCGTCCCGGGGAACGGTCGGGGCATGACATCGGCATCGTGGTGGATCTCGACGCCGGCGTAGCCATCGAAGCCATCGAGTCCAGCCACCGGATCGACGAGACCCGCACCGGTCCGGAGACCGCAACCATCAAGCTCGCCAACCAAGCCACGATTCCCAACCGGGACTTCGTCCTCAAGTTCAAAGTGGCGGGAGGGCGCGTCAAGACCAACCTCCTGACCTACGTGGACCGCAAGAAGGGACAGGGGTACTTCACCATGATGCTGTATCCGCCCGAGAACCTGGAGAGCGCGCCGCGGCATCCGATGGAGATGGTGTTCGTGCTGGACTGTTCGGGCTCCATGAACGGCGAGCCCATCGCCCAGGCGAAGGCAGCCGTTCTCGCGGCGCTGGACCTGCTCGAGCCCGCGGACACATTCCAGGTCATCCGTTCTCCAACAACTGCCAGTCGGTTTGGACCGGAACCGGTTCCGGCCACACCGGAAAACGTCGCGCTGGCGAAGCGCTACGTTCGACGGCTCCAGGGCGGCGGGGGCACGCGGATGATCGAAGGCATTCGCGCGGCCCTCGATTTCCCCCACG